TGTTTTAGAGTTACTCTTGTAATGCATTCAGAACTTGTTTATAAATGGAAAAGCAAGAACTAACTTAGCAGGTAGAAGCGTATGGATTTAGTCCTGGCATTCAAATTGATTGAACAAATGTGTGCATCAGAAGGATAAGCAACCTGTTCATTGATAAACAAATTGCTTTTCTTTTTTATGAAAAGAAGTAAACTCAGCACAAGCTGCAAGTAGTCCCATAGCTACAAATACTCAACTATCCCACACACTACACCAGAACACAGACAGAGTTCTAGCTCCTGTCCTCTGAAGATGCCGGCCACAGAGACTGGCAAAACATTAGGAAGAAAAACCTCCAGAACACGGCCAAAGAGCCCGAAAAACCTACAACAACCATCAGCACAAGCTATTGAGAAGAACTTGACTCCTCTGAAGATTTGTATTAAATTATGAAAATATTCATTCACCTTTGATTATAATCATATGCATTATGATTATAATCAAAGTCATTCTAGACTTTCTTCCATTTATAGATACATATTGTTTTGCTTACTTCTATCGGCCAAAATCCTCCTGGGTAGTATAACCCCTAGTTGGCAAATGGCCCAGAGTTACGAACTCATCATAGGCATTATCAGTTGCATGCTGAGTCATTCTGAGTGCCACTGCCCCTCTGCTGGTGGCAGTGTTGGTGGCCAAAATGTCCTCAAAAATCAACTCTATAGGCTCCAGACAATCACTGTAGACAGAACCAGACTTTATTTTGGACCAGGAAGGGAATATAAAATTAGCCGCTCCACCACTCTTCATCCGGCCAGGTTGTCCTGTGGAGGGGCTGGGTTTCCAGCACTAAATTACGCCCCCCACCCCCTGGCCAATGTCCCTTCTGTCTTTCTCCCAAGTCAAATCCATGAAGGCTGCCTGGTTTTCCATTCTAGGAAGACGCACGAGGTTCAAAAGTCCTGCAGTCCATCCCACTCCCTTAAGGCTGGCCTGTATAGGCAGCTGAGGGATATCTGCTTCCCAGCTCCTCCTGAATACATGTTGCTGCCTTTCTTTCCGACATTTTGTATTCACTAGCAGTGCTGTTGAGTTGGAGTCAGAGCTGCTGGTCTTGTTGGTTGCTGTGGACATCAGGTGGAAGTGGGCTGAAGAGGAGTTGCTGGAGGAGTAAATATGGGGGCCCTGCCACAGCAACAGCATCTGTCTGCTACTGCTACCTCTACGAGGACCTCTCTCTAGGAACCATTCTCCAGATGGTATTCCACCTCTCTGGTCGTGGAAAAGGCCACCAGAGTTTCTTCTCCCTCAGAGGTGTCCTCACAAACACCTGTTGCCTCAGATGATGTTGCCCTTTCCCTGTCAGTCTCACTGGCCCTCTCCTCCTCCTCCTCTTCTTCCCTTTTTTTATGACCCAGTGTTGCTCCTGCTCTCCTAGGTGCTCCAGATGTTGGCCCTGTGGCTGATGTTTGCCTTCCTTCCTCAGTGCCCACTTTGGAACCCCTGAGTTGCACTTCTGACCAGACACCCCCCCTTTGGAGTGCCTAGTGAGGGCAGACAGACGACCCAAGGTACTGGTAGCAACTCTCCCCCCCCCCGAGTCTTGGTATGCAACAGGTAAAATCTACAGAGACTGCCTAAATTAAGACAATTGGCCAATCAAACTCCTGCCATCTGATCACCCAATTACTTAAGTTGTGACAACTGTGTAAATTCTATGTTTTCAATTCTTACATTTTGGGAATCGTTTGCAGTAAGATAGCTGCAATTCCCAGAATATTTCAGCGAAATTATCTGGACTACAACTCCCAGGATCCCCAGGTAGGATAGACAGTTGAGATGTAGCTTATAAAATTATCTGCTTTGAAAAGAGTTGCATCTGTACACAAATATGTGTTTCTTCCTCTGTTTTGGTAAAAGGACCACTACTTCCACAAACCTCCAGCCTGTATGACCCAGTCAAGATACACCCTACTCAGTTATTTAAGTTGCAACCTCAATAGTATCTGTGAGAAAGGTTGAGTCTCCAGGAAGCCCTCACCAATTCAGAGATCTTTTGATAGAAACAAACACATGCAGAAACGTTCTGCTTTATTTACAAGTCAGCAAATAAATATGTATGTTTCCATTGTATTGTACAATGTCAAAATCAGGTATCTATTTTTGTGACATAAGCCAAAGAAGAACATCAACTTTTTAAAAGAGAACATGTCTGACACTTTCTAAAAGGGGAAGTGAGCATTGTTACGAAGTTGGAAAATAGTAGCAAAACTAGGCAACACTGTAATTGTTATGACTCCCAGCTAAAAAGACCCTGGAACTTAAGGTTTGATCACACAGGGTAATAGATATCAATTTGGACTGCTGGTGGAGTGGTCTGGCGTAATCTATTTCCTGGCAACCAGACGATGTTTGGGAAAATTTGCTCCATCCTGACCCCAAACCATGTCCAATCTGGGCCTTTTTGGTCCAGCTGTAGGGCTTCTACTTTTGGGAGCCAGTCTGGAGTGATTTCCCCAGCAGACGAAATTTTCATGTAAGGGAGATTGCTCCTGTTAAGGCCGCCTTTTCCACAGCCATCAAGGCACGCACCTTTCCAGCCGTCGGATTGTATCTGTATTCAGAATATTAAGCACCTTCCGAAAACAACAATTCTCAGAGTGCTTTAGGGATGATGTGGCCACGAAATGGATCTGAGAGTGGTATATCGGTGGCATAAGAACTAAGAACTCTCAATTAATTAATATGGTGGTGTATCAAGCCATTTCAATATGCAGAGTAAATGAAAAACAAGCTCTTTAAGAGGAAATCAGATTTGTTTGATCTCCAGGATATGGAGTTTTGAAATGCAAAAATCTTACCTCTTCAGGACCATCTCTAGAATTTGGGGAGCAGTTACTTGGGCAGTGCAATAAAATTTGCACACTGGCTTGATTAACAATCAAATAGAGTTACACTTGATTAAATGTTCTAACTGCATCCTAGCTAGTGCAGTAATTACAGTACTTTGGGCCAGATCCATAACTGGGGCTTTCAGCATTTGGAGGGTGCTGGAACATAGAAGGGAACTTACTGGTCAACGTTGAGAAGATAAATAGCAACACTTCCTAGCCCTATTCACTTTCCTTTTTTTTTTTTTTTTTGAAACATAAAATTCTCTTCCTTTTGAGGGGCACTACATTCTTCCTTTTCTTGGGTGGGGGGTTTCCCTTGCATCAAGATGGTAAGGTCGTTGGTGGTACCATTTGCCCTTGATGCTAAAATTGCTAGTAACAATGTTGTCTTGGGTTGTTGAGGCATCATCAAGGCCTCCGTGTATGCTGGCCTAATATGTATTCAGCGTGTGGATTGACAGTACAGTATGTTGAATTACTTCCAAGTTTGTGTGTTCTGTTTGTTTGTATTTTAGTAATCAAAGGAATCAACACTTTCAAAGGAAAGAGCATGATGTCTAGACTTCAAATAATTATAATTAAGAATATATAATTTATAGTTAATTTTATAATTATAATGAAACCAATGAAATGGTGTTGCCCAAAATAGATTCAGTTTTATCCGAGTTAAAAGATCAGGGAGGAAATAGCTTTAACTCCAAATAGGAAAGTGTCACCAATAGTATGATTACTCAGGAAGTTTCATATCAGATTTTTATAAAGGCCCAGGAACTTCGTCTTGTATTAACATTAAAAGAACTTTGTCTTTTTTACAACACACACACACACACACACAC